TTCTGCATCATTCAATAATTTGCCCAGTGAATCTTTTAATAATGAAAGTCGAAGCTTGACTTTTTTCTTTAGTTCCTCCAGCTTGAGAAATACTGACCGTGTTCTTCCCTTTTAGGGCCTAGAGACTGTTAAATCCCAACTTACCTAGGACTTGCCACAAACCCCCACTGGGTCTGTTAGTTGCTTTCCTATGTTTATCATACTCCTGTGGATTTTCCAGGCCAACTTCTATTTTATCAGCCAAAGATAATGTATTTCAACACACTACAACTAAAAGCATATTCTAATTTGCATAGTGTTGTGGGAAACCAATTTGGGACAGAGGTGTAATACTCCTGGAAATTTTGGGAGTAAAAATATTTTCCCCAAGATCTTTCCCTCTTCAATGTATCAAAGAAAACTGCTTTATACCTTTTCCCCAAGTGAATTTTTCTAGAACTGCTGTGATTACATTGATCAGAAATGGCATATCTGTGAAGTTGGTTTTTCATAACATATTTTTGTTTTCAACAAATGGACCCCAGGTACTTGCCGTTGTTGTTAAGTGCTGCCCAGTCAGTACCAACTCATTGTGGCCATGTATAAAATTCCCAAGGAGTGGCTGGTGAGTTTGATCAACTGATCAGTGCTTTACCTCATGATTGATAATGACTTTACGCTGGACCCACATTTCACCCCCTCCCCCCTACAGGAATGTATGAAGAGGCTTTGCTGTTCTACACTTTGTCCTCCTCCAAGCCCCAAGGATTACCAATTTCTGACATTTTCCTTCTGGAGTGAACACCTCCCATCCCATCATTCTGTTCCATTCTTGCTACTTCTTTCTTCTCTGTTTACCAGGCTTTAGTCCCCCTTTCACTGTGTGTTCCTTGTCCTCTACATCCCATCTTCAAGTAGCAACCACCATACCATCACTGTAGAGTCATGGTGAACTTTAGAAATGACTCTAAGGATGCGCTTCCCTCCTCTGTTCTGATTTCTGATTATTCCAAGACCAGAGAAGGTGATTCTAAGCTTTGATCTCCTTGTGTTCATATCCTTTTGATTCATCCCTAGATAACCCAGGGCTGAGCAAGAAGCTAGCTAACGTCACTGGCGTGGGGGAGAGGGGAGAAGGGAGTGTAGCAGGAGGGAAATGTTAGAGGCTCAGCACCTCTGACTTCAGACATGACCCTCCAACAACCCACCAAGAACCAAAATGCCAAGTATCAGAAAAGTGTTACCAAAATTTAGTTAATTTGGGGGGAATCGTGCACTGAGAAGCTGTCCACACATGTAAAATGTATGTGACATTTTACTCCCGGGTCAGTTGTCTGCAAACCCACAGCCTTTAATCTGTTATGCTTTTGTAATTTGCTTCCTCCTTATAGGATGTCATCCTCCATGTTGATCTGAAACCAATGCCACTACTTTAGAAAGGAAAATGCAGAAGAAAGAGCTGTGATTCCTTGGAATGGACTTTGATGCTGCCCTGGTCTACTCTACCCTTTACCTTTTCATGTTTCAGTTCACACACTTCCTTGGAAGGATGCCTTAGAACCCTTTCCCACTGAGATCCTTGTTCAGAAAGCCCAGAATGCAAAACATGAAGCCCAGTGTACTCACCACTTAAGTTAGAAGCCGGTTTTTAGTGACATAAGGTGGGGTGAGGAGCTGAATATTGTTTAGGATAAGTGTACTTGAAATCACTAACTTTGATTATTGTCTCTAGGTTTCTGATGGAGCTGGGCAATCAAAATTCGTACTAGAAAACCTGCGGTACTATACTGTCCATCCAAATTTGGTACGTGGGCAAGCCTTTCCCCAAGATCTCTAAGAGCAAACTTCAGCATGTTCCACAAGTCCCCATCCTCCTCCTTATTGACAGAAAAGCGAATTTATTGGGACTGCTGTTCTCTGTCTCCAGTCTCCATCCCTCCCCACCCCCCACCCTTAAGTGGCCTGCTGTCCTTTGTGACTGCTTTGCCTTTTTAAGGTTGTGTTTGTTGTGCAGGGTAGGAATCTTGGTGGGTGGGAGGCTGTAGATAAGGCTTGTGTCAAGGCCCCAAAGCACTCCCTGAGGAACGAAATTTGGTCCTTGGTAGTTTTCTGCTCTGCCTCAGAGAGTCATAGTTGTAATCATTGTTGTTGTTGTTGTTGTTAAGTGCTGTTGAGTCAATTCTTACTCATCGCAACCCTGTGTAGGGTTTCCAAGAGGCAGCCTGGTGGGTTTGAACCACCAACCTTGTGGTTAACGGTCCAGAGCTTACCCTACAGTGCCACACAAGGAAAGAAGGCCTGGTTTAGGCCACCTAGAAACCTGACATTTCCGTTTGCTCTACAGTGTTAGGTGCGGTGCTATGTTACACATTTTTCAAAACGAAGTCATCTTGCTTCTTTTATTCTGGAAACCTTTCCATCTGATTAATCCCACCTCTTAGTCTATTTGCAAGAAATGCTCTGAGGGAAAGAGAAAGATAGAGCGCTCAAGAGTTTTTCAGATAAATTTCAGAGCAGATGTACTCTGCCTGTCCTTTGTCCCTACTCCAACAGAAGAAAAAGATTAGCCAACTGATGTATAAATATGCTCTTAACTAAATCCTTTTATTTTTCTGGAACTTCTGTCTGCTCAGGCCAGGTACTATGAACCTGCAAAGCCTACAGCCCTGCAAAAATTCCTGGAACGAAACAAGAAAATCAGGAGTTTCATGTTAAAAGTAACAGAGTATGACCAGGATAAGACCTTACTGATTATGACTAACAACCCACCTCCCTACCCAATCAACTTGCAAGGAAGGGACATCACCCCCAAATACTTTTCCAAGGAGTTACTGACCAAGGTAAAGACACTTGGGGGGAAGTTCCCTGGCACCCTAAGTACAGATCCTGAAGAGTTTAGGAGCTAGCTTGGAGAAGAGAGGCAACTTAACACAGAGAATGGCGTTCACTACTTAGTCCCAGCCACATACTTCACAAAACAGAATCTGGGGAGCCTGGGAAGGAAACAGAGTCTATAAACTGGGGTCGTGACGCTGTATTGCAGGTAGAAAATGGGGTCTTCATTGGAAACAGCTCCTTTTTGGATAAAGAGACTTAGTTTGTAACAGATAAGAGGAAAATGACTTTGTAAATGATAAATCAGGAAACAAGGAATCAGAAACAGAAATGAGTATTGAAATGGAAAAGGAGTAAAGAATGCAAATTGCTCCTGGGTGTCAGGAGAAGAGGAGAGGAACAAAGCAGGGTCTTAGACTAAAGAAACTAAAATTCCAGTCAGTCAACAATTACTGAGCATACACTAAGCTAGGAAGCAAAATATAAAGATTCCTGGATACTTTCTATCTTGAAAGGACAAATGCAAGGTGAGCATTCCAAAACAAAACAAAAGCAAAAATAAATCCATTGCCAGAAACCCTAATGGCACAGTGGCGAAAGCCTTCGCCTACTGACCAAAACGTCAGTGATTCAAACCTACCAGCAGCTTGGCAGGAGAAAGATATGACAGTCAGCTCTGTTATGATTTATAGTCTGGGAAATCATATGGCAGTTCTATTTGACTTACAGGGTCACTATGAGTCCAGCATTACCCTGCTCAGAGTAAGAAGGCATACTCATATATATATAATAGGAGAGACATATGTAGTAAAAATGATATATGAACATAATTACAATACTGGGATATATGGATAATAAAAGAATATCTGAGATACAGAAGATAAGAGCAGTGTTTCTGTTGATAGAAAATGGTAATCAGAGGAGGTAACACTTGATAAAGAATAGGATAATATTCTAATTAGAGGGAAGCACAATGTCATGAAGACATGAGAAAGTGGGGTGCATTCAGGAAGATGTAAGAGTGAATGGCAGGAGGTAAAAGGATGTTACTTTGAAGCACAATGTCATGAAGACATGAGAAAGTGGGGTGCATTCAGGAAGATGTAAGAGTGAATGGCAGGAGGTAAAAGGATGTTATCAAGTTGCATTTTAGAAAGAGCATTTTGAAGGTTGGGTGAAAGATACAGTGGTAGTGACTGCATGCCATCAAGTTGGTTCCAAATCACAGTAGCCCTGCATAGGGTTTTGGAGGCTGTAAATCTTTACAGGAACAGAAGCACCCTCTGTCTCCCATGGAGAGTCAAACTGCTGACCTTGGGATAAGCAGCTGAGCATGTAACCTACTCAATTGTCAGGGCTTGTTAAAATTATTTTTTAAAAGGCAAATATCAGAAAGATTAGTTATGATGTCAATATAATAGATGAGGTGTTCTTGTTAAGTGCCATGGAGTCGGTTCTGACCCATAGTGACCCTGTATAGGGTTTCCGAGGAGCAACTGGTGAGCTTGAACCACTGACCTTGCAGTTCAAACGGCTTTGCAGTCTGGTGCATTAACCCACAGCGCCACACCAGGACCCTGATAGAAGAGGTGAGAGATACTAAATCAAGTTGCAGAGGAAATGAAATGTTATTTAAGAGATATTTAGACATCAGGACCTCCAACAGATCTTGACAGTCTTGTGAGAGGGCTTAATCTAACAAAAAGAAATTAAATGAGATAAGTGAAAGTGCAAATAGAAATAATCTAATTAGTACAGAAATTTGATGGTGTGAATAGGATTACATAAACTGGACCCTTGTAACAACACGTGCTGGATTTGGAATACATTTTTCCTTAGTTGCTAGATAGAGAGGACTAAGCAATTCCTCTCCATATTGAACTTAAAATACTAATATTCGATGGTACATGCTGACAGTACAAAACCAAAACACTGCCGCCCTAGAATTGTTTCTGACCCCTGGCAGCCCTCTAGGGCTCCCCAGGGTGTCATCTGTATAGAAGCATATTGCCACATCTTTCTCCTGGCGAAACAGCTTGTTTGTTGCAGGCACCGAACTTGACTTAGCAGATGAACACTTAAGCACTGTGTCGTCCGGGCTACTTATGCCGAAAATGTTTTTGTTAATTTGATAAATGCCCTGGAGTTGGTTCCTTTACAGGGAGCAGCTGGTGGGTTTGAACCACTGATCTTTCAGTTAGCAGTCCAGTGTTTACCCTGGACTGTTACCACACCAGGACTCCATGCTTAATTAATTAATTAAGTGCCCACTGTCTTTTGGGTCTCAAATTTGAGCCCTTTGAAAGTAAGCTTTTAGGATAGATACTGTCATTATTGTTATGATGTTGCTAGGTGGCATTGAGTCAGTTTCAACTCATAGTGACCCTAAGCATAACAGAACAAAACCTTGCCCTGTGCTGCCCTCAAAATCATTGTTAATCTTGAGCCCATTGTTGCTACCACTATGCCAATCCATCTCACTGGGGGTCTTCCTCTTTTTGCCCCCCCCCCCGACTCTCCACTTTACCAAGCATGATGTCCTTCTCTAAGGACTGATCCCTCCTGATAGTATGTGTGAAGTATGAGAGACAGTCTGGCCACCCTGGCTTCTAAGGAGCATTCTGGCTGTACTTCTTCCAATACAGATTTGTTTGTTCTTTTGGCAATCCATGGCACTTTTAATATTCTTCTCCAGCACCATAATTGAAATACATCAATTCTTCTCTGGTCTTTATTCATTGTCTAGTTTCACATGCGTACGAATTAACTTAAAATGCCATCAAAGTGACTAACTTGCTTTTTAGCACTCAAAAGAGGATTTTGGCAACAGATTTGCCCAATGCAATAAGTTCTTTGATTTCTTGACTGCTGTTTCCATAGGCATTCATTATGGATCCAAGTTCAATGCATTCCTTGGCAAGTTCAATTTTTTCTCCATTTATCATGATGTTGCTTACTGGTCAGGTTGTGAGGATTTTGTTTTCTGTACACTGAATTGTAATCCATACTGAAGGCTTGTAGTTTCTGATCTTCATCAGTAAGTGCTTCAAGTCATCTTTTCTTTCAGTAAGCAAAGTTGAGTCATCTGTATTATCACAGGTTGTTCATGAACCTTCCTCCAATTCTGATGCTGAGTCCAGCTTCTCAGATTATTTGCTCAGTATACAGATTGAGTAAGTGCCGCGAAAGAATACAACCCTGGTGCACACCTTTTCTGATGTGAAACCATGCTGTTCGAACAACTTGGTCTATATATAGTTTCTTCATGAAGAACAAGCTTATCTGTGTTGAAAGAAGTATAGCCAGAATGCTGCTTAGAAGTCAGGATGGCAAAACTTAATTTCTTATACTTCAGAAATGTTATCGGGGGGACCAGACCCTGGGAAGGACATCATGCTTGGTAAAGTGGAGGGTCAGTGAAGAAGAGGAGGGTCCCCAATGAGATGGATTGGCACACCTACAGCAGCAATGAGCTCAAATGTAACAATTGTGAGGCTGGCACAGAACCAGGCAGTGCTTTGTTCAGTTGTGCATAGGGTCATTATGAGTCAGAACTGACTCCATGGCACCTAACAACAACAACATGAACATGATGAGTCTTCTGGAATTCCTATTCTTCTCAATGTTACTATAATTTGGTGTGATCAATGTCTTTGCATAGCCAATAAAACATAAGTCAACATTTTTTTTTTTTTTTTAGTATTCTCTACTTTTAGCCAAGTATGAAGGTGAGTCAAAAATTATCCACATCCAGTTATATTAAAGCACTTGTCCACATGCATGGCTGTTGACAACACTGAGTGTGCACGTGAAATAATTCTGTTGAATCGACGAGTGATGTGACAGTGGATTAGGTGGCAAATCATTTGTAAATCACGAGTCTTAAGTTTGGAAAAGTTTGTGGTAGGTGGCTACTGAAGCACCTCATGGAAGACCATAAACAGAAGTGTCTGGACATCTACAAACAAAAGTTGGACTAATACTTGGAGGAAGGTAAAGGTTTCTTTAAAACGTTTCTTTTTTTCTTAATATACTGGTGATGAGACATGCATTCATCACTATGCACCTGAGATTAAACTGCAGTGTATAGAAGGAAACATCCTTAATCCCCAACCAAGAAAAATCACAAAAGTCAACCATCAGCTGAAATATTGATGCTGACAGTTTTCTGGGATTCTCAAGGGCCAGTATTGGAACACTGTCAGGAAAAAGTCTCCACAGTCAACAGTACTCATTACAGTGAGATGCTCACTGAAGAAGTGAAGCCTAAACTTCAAATTAAATGCAGTGGACTGCTATCCAAGGGGGTTGTGATCTTGCAAGACAATGCATACCAGTCCACCTCTGCCCACACTGTTGGCACTCTGCAAAAACGTCATTTTGATGTGCTAAAGCATCTTTCCTAAAGTCCTGATCTTGCTCCATTGGACCTGTTTTGGTCCCCAGAAAATAGACCTTCGAAGATGAAGAATCATCTCTGATGAAAAAGTGAAGAAAGTGGTGCACTTGTGGCTCACAGCTCAGCCTAAAACATTTTAAAATTAGGGAATACTAAAGCTCATTGACAGATAGACAAAGTGTATTTAAAAGCAAGGAGATTATATTGGAAAATGATGTATTTGTCTTTTCTAAAATTGATTAAAATAAATTCTACAGCCAGAGTGCAGATAATTTTTGACTCACCCTCGTACATCTGATGTTAGCAATGATATCGCTTATTCCATGTCCTTTTCTGAATCTGGCTTCAATTTCTGGTAGTTCCCAGTCAATGTACTGCTTCAACTCTTTTTGTATTATCTTCAGTGAAAATGACTGCATGTGATATTGATGATGGTTGTTGTTGTTAGGAGCTGTACAGTTGGTTCTGACTCAGCAACTTTATACAAAACAGAACTAAACACTGCGTGGTCCTCTTCCATCCTCACATTTGTTGTTATGCTTGAGCCCGTTGTTGCTGCCACTGTGCCAATCCATCTCATTGGTGGGCTCCTTTTTTCAGTGATCTGCCACTTTGCCTAGCATGATGTCCTTCTCCAGCAAATGGTCCCTCCTGACAATATGTCTGAAGTATGTGAGAAGAAGTCTCACAATCCTGGCTTATAAGGAGCATTCTTCCAACACTGATTTGTTTGTTCATCTGACAGTCTATGGTACTGTTAATATTCTTCTCCAACACCATAACTCAAATACGTCAATTCTTCTACAGTCTTTATTTACTGCCCAACTTTCACATGCATATGGAACTATTGAAAATAACAAGGCTTGGGTCAGGTGCACCTTAGTCCTCAAACTGACATCTTTGCTCTTCAACACTTTTACGAGGTCTGGTGTAGCAGATTTGCCTAATGCAATACATCGTTTGATTTCTTGACTGCTGTTTCCATGAGTGTTGAGAGTGGATCTAAGTAAAATGAAGTCTTTGACAACTTCAATCTTTTCTCCTTTTATCATGAGGTTATTTATTAGTGCAGTGGTGAGGATTTGTGTTTTCTTTACATTGAGGTGCAACACATACCAAAAGCTGTGGTCTTTGGTCTTCAGAAGCAAGTTCTCTTTGCTTTCAGCAAGCAAGGTTGTATTATGGGCATATATCAGGTTGTTAATGAGTCTTCCTTCACTCCTTATGTCACTTTCTTCTCCATATAATCCAGCTTCTCAGATTATTTACGCAGCATACAGATAGAATAAGTGTGGTGAAAGAATACATCCGTGATGCACACCTTTCCTGATTTTAAACTATTCAGTGTTCCCTTGTTATGTGTGTTCTCTTGGTCAATGTACAGGTTCCTCACGAGCACAATGAAGTGTTCTGGAATACTCATTTTCCCCAGTGTTGTCATAGTTTGTCATGATCCACACAATTGAAAGCCTTTGCACAGTTACTAAAGCACAGGTAAACATCTTTCTAGTATTCTCCGCTTTCAGCCAAGATGCATCTAACATCAATAATGATATCTCTCATCCACATTGTCATTTGTATCTGGCTTGAACCTCTGGCAGTTCCCTGTCAATGTACTGTTGCAGCCATTTTTGAATTATCTTCAGCAAAATTTTACTTGCACATGATATTAGTGGTATTGGTCCATGGTTTCTGCATACTTTTGGGTCACCTCTCTTTGGAATGGGCACAAATATGGATCTCTTCTAATCAGTTGACCAGGTAGCTGTCTTCCAAATTTCTTGGCATAGATGAGTGAGAGCCTCCAGTGCCACGTCAGTTTGTTGAAAGATTTCAATTTCTATTTCATCAACTCTCAGAGCGTTGTTCTTTGCCAATGCCTTCAGTGCACGTTGGACTTCATCCTTCAGTACCATTGGATATGATCATATGCTATCTCTTGAAATGAATGAACACTGTCCACTTCTTTTTGGTAGTGACTGTGTATTCCTTCCATATTCTTTTGATGCTTTCTGCATCATTCAATATTTTGCCCACAGAAAAGCTGAGGCTTGAATTTTTTTTTTCAGTTCTTTTCAGCTGAGAAATTCTGAGCATATTCTTCCCTTTGGGTTTTCTAATTCCAGGTATTTGCATATTTCATTAAAATACTTTGTCTTCTTGAGCTGCGCTCTGAAATTTTCTGTTTAGTTTTTTTACTTTCTCACTTCTCCCATTTGTTTTAGCATCTCTATGCAGGAGAGGAAGTTTCAGTCTTTTCTGACCTTCATTTTGATCTTTTCCTTCTTTTTTGTCTTCTTAATGATCTTTGTTTTATTCCTGTATGGTATTTTTGTTGTCATCCCACAACTCTCCTGGTCTTCAGTCATTAGGGTCTAATGTTTCAAACGTGTTCTTGAGATGATCTTTAAATTTAGGTGGGATATGTTCAAGGTCAAATTTTGGCCCTCTTCAGTTCTTGTTTTAATTTTTGGGGGGTTTCAGCCTGAACTTGCATATGATCAATTGATGGTCAATTTCACAGTCTCCCCTGGCCTTGTTTTGGCTGATGCTATGGAGCTTTCCCATCATTTGGACTCCCACAGATAGAGTCCAATTGATTTCTGTGTATTCCATCTGGTGTTTAAAAAAGTATTTGCAATGAAGAAATCATTGATTTTGCAAAATTCTATCAGGTGATCTCAGCATTGTTTCGATCCCCAAGGCCATATTTTCCAACTACTGATCCTTCCTCTTTGTTTCCAACCTTTGCGTTGAAGGAAAGGAAGTAGCTGCTAATCACCAGTAATTATCAATACATCTTGATTGCATGTTTAATCAGTTTCAAACTAAAGAAGTTGGTAGAATTCTTCAATTAGTCTTCAAACACATCAAATCTGTTCTTGAGCGCCTCTCTAAATTCAGGTGGCAGAAAACACAAGATCATATTTTGAGTGTCATGGACTTGCTTTAATTTTCTTTCAACTTCACCTGAATTTACATTTTCTGTTCCACAGTAAGCCCTGGCCTTGTTTTGACTGATGGTATTGAGCTTCTCCATTGTCTTGCCCCACAGATGTAGTCAATTTGATTCCTGTGCATTCCATTTGACAAGGTCCACATGTATAGTTGCCGTCTATGTTGTTGGAAAAAGGTATTTGCCATGAATCAATGGTTGGTCTTGCAAAATTCTATTATGTGGATCTCCAGCATCTTTTCTATCACCCAGTCTCTATTTTCCAACTATTTAACATTCCTCTTTTTTGGAGTCTTGGGTGCAGTGCTGTTGGATAAGTATTGGACTGCTAACTGCAAGGTTAGTGGTTTAAACTCACCAACCACTTCTCTGAAACCTCAGATAGGGTCTTTAAGAGTCAGAACCCACTCAATGATGCTTGAGAACAATAACATCATCATTTCTCTTTGTGTCCAACTTTTGTATTCCAATCACCAGTAATTATCAATGCATCTTGATTGCATGTCAATCCATTTCAGACTGAAGAAATTCTTTTGTTTCTTCATCACTGGCTTTGGTGGTTGGTGTGTAAATGTGAATAATAGTTATATTAACTGGTCTTCCTTATAGGTGTATATATAATATTCTATTATAGACAGTATTGTATTTCAAGATAGATCTAGAAATGTTCTTTCAAGATTTCATGAGAATGAATGTGACTCTTCAATTTGTCATTTCCACCATAATAAAACATGATTGTTTCAAAATGATCAATACAGTCCATTTCAGCTCACTAGTGCCTAGAATATCAGTCTTATTTTTGATGACTTCCAATTTTCCTAAATTCATACTTCATACATTCCATGTACCAGTTATTAATGGATGTTTTCAGCTATTGGTTCTCATTTTGAGTTATGCCCTATCAGCAAATGAAGGTCCCAAAAGCTTTACTCCATCCACTTTGTTAAGTAAGGTCACTTCTACTTTGAAGAGGCAACTCTGCCCTACTTGTATTTTGAGTGCCTTCCAACCTGAGTGAGTCTTCCTCTGGCACTATAACAAACAACGTTCTACAGCTCTTCATAAAAATTTCAGTGGTTACTTTTCCCAAAGTGATCCCCATCTCCTACTTCCTAGTCAGTCTTAGTCTGGAAGCTGTTAAAATCTGTTCACCTGGATGACTCTGTTGGTGTTAAAATACCGGCAGCATAGTTTTCAGCATCAAAGCAACACACAAGTCACCACAGTATGACAAACTGACAGATTAGTGGTGGTCTGTGACCTTAAGTAACAATGAAATTATTACTTCATAAAACATCCTACTCCATTGCCTTTTACTGCAGCACCCCATGGGTCTGGTTTCCAATTGATCAAAGTCGGTGTTTCAGATCCGCTCACTTATTGAATCTTTCTAAAAGAATGGGTACACATTCCTCTACCATTCACTTCAAAGAGTCAGTGGGCAAGCTCAGTCCACTAACTAAACACTGTGCTAATCCTCTAGTAATGACTCTGCCCAGAGTACTGCCCCCTCTTGTTGTGATTTGAGTTCCCATTTACCTACTTGACAAGTCAGGTTTTGCTGCATCATTTTAGAAGAGTTTAAGTCAGCCTTTATGTTTCAAGAAATTCTGTTTCCTCCCTCACTTTTCCCGTTACAGGAGAGTAGACAGCAGTACAAATCCACTGAAAACTTCTACCTGCCCCTGATGCCTCAGAAAAAAAAACCCAGATTGCTTTTGAAACCAGTCTTCCCTATGACCCTGTTCGATGATCCTGCATCCAAGCGAGAACAATGGTTTAGGTGAGGCTCTGACTTTTCTTGTACGCATTTTCGTTCCTACTTTTCCCCATTCAAACTGCTCTTATCAATATAATTTGACAAACACATTTTGATTGTCAGGAGAAAGATGCGGCTGTCTGCCCCTTTCAAGATTTAGTCTTGGAAACCCTATATAAGGTCTCTATTAAGTCAGAATTGACTCTAAGGCATTGGTTTGGCTTCTGCTGTTTCTTGATTGTATGTTAGTCACATAACTTCGTAACAATAAGACACAGCGTTCTTACATGACCCCCGTCTCATTTACACTCTAATGAAGCAGAAACAGTAATGCAAAGTGGAGAACTTCTAGAACTATGACTTATGTGTTATAAGAACAAAGACAAAGATTTTATTTGAAACTGGATAATGAAAACAGCCTCCATCTAATTTGAAGAGGACAGAGGAGATTCTGAAGATTTTTTAGTGTAAGGTTCTAGAAGTATCCCTTCTCACTGACCAATACCCCCACTTTGTACCAATCCACACCCTGTAGACATGGTCCCTTCTTCTCTGCCAGAATCTGAGAATGTAGCTTACTTTCAAGTGGCTGGTTCCATTAATCCCTTGTCCTAGGTTCTACTAAGTGACCTTTCTTTGTTAAGGTTTTCCACTGACAATGATTTCAAGATTGAAGGGAAGTATTCAAAAGTTTATGCTTTGAGAATACAGAAAAAAATGTACCCTCAACTCACCTTTTCCCCAACCTGTAAAAAAGGTAAGAAGAGAGATGGTAAGTCCTTACTTTCAAAGCACTGATGTATTGGATGAGATATGGGCTGGATATACCTATGGGCAAATCTATATTTCTCATGTTGTTTCTAGAGCGGATTTTTCCTTGTAGCATAGCCGGTAGGAGTTAATAGAGACTCACATGTCACTAGGCTTTGGACCCCGCTGACAGTCATACATTCCATGCAGGCTCTAGCATAGTATTTCCAAACAATACCACCTGCCACTTGGATATTTTGGCATATCAGTATGCTATTATCCCTTTTACTTAGTATTTTTCTTTGAAAAGATTTTTTCTTGTTCTTGTCCTCATCAGTACACTATCTTTGACAACACGGTTTGATGTATGAATTACATATTTTCTGAAACACATAAAATCAAATTCATAATAATGAAAAATTTTAAAAAATGTTTATTTAGGTCCAGTGGTATGCATATCATACTTTGAGGTAAACTGGTCTCTAGGGACCCAAGGATAAGTATGTGAGTCTCAGAGGTCCTTAAGCCTCGTAGGGTTTGGGGGTGGAGGGAATGAGGCAGAAGCGGTTTGGAATCAGGTGAATGAATGAAGAGGGTACAATGAGAAGGCTTCTCCCATAAACACTCATTTCACAACATCGATGAGGGTGCCTACTAGTGTTGAGCACTCACTTACCAAGCACCAGTAATAGCTCTTTCAATATGTGAACTGGATAGGTGAACCAGATCCAAGAAACATGTGTAGTATATAGATACAAGTTTGGATTTTATCCACTAGGCAACTGAGACCTATCAGAGAGCACTGAATATACATTTGTGTATGCTAAGTATAATTCATGGGTTCCCAGACTTGCTCAACTATGGCTTTAAGATAAAGTCTATTTTTCCTACTGGGTTTCTCTCCTCAGTTTTGAAAGACTCCTGGTATGGTACTGTAGGGTAAGCACTGGACTGCTAACCATAAGGTCGCCAGTTCAAACGCACTAGCCACTCCTTGGAAACCCTATATGGGGAAACTATGAATCGAAACCAACTTGTTGGTACTTAACAACAACAAGGTACATTTATTTACCTGGTCTATGGTGATCATGGTGATTTATTATTACCTAACACCTTTGGGAGAAAGATGAGACTTTCTGCTTTCGTAAAGATATACAGCCTCGGAAACCCTATACAGGGTCGCTATGAGTCGGTTCCAACTCCACAGCACATAACCACCACCACCATCAACACCTTTGACAATCATTTTTAGCCCAACAGTCTGAAAGGCTGAGGTTATACAGCACCATTCCTTCATTGGTTTCTTCAGGTCCCTTCACTCTTGACAGCCCACATGGTCAGTCCCTTTCATAACAGCCCAAGCTGAGCTTTGGTGGCAAACAAAACTTCATGGTTATGGTGAGAAGCTAAAGATAGTAGAGAGCATCATCTTGCTTTAAAAGGTGCTACTCAAAGGGATTCAACCTCAAAGCCAGCCTCAGCTCCTCCACACTTTTCAGCAGGTCTCCAGCCCTTTGGAAAAACCTCAGGATATACCTACTTGTCTTTGTCTAGGTTCCTATTGCCCTTGGCCCAAGAAAAGGAAAAGATTTTCCTTCCTTCCCCCAAACCTGTTTCTTTTCGGCCTCAGTATAAATGGCTACGAGACCATCTATGAGAGACCTTCAAATAAATTCATGGAAAAGTTCCAGGATTTTTTAGTCCATTTTCCCAGGGACATTTTGAAGTCCCCTTATATTTCATTCAAGGGAAATTCCACCTGGGAAGTATGGTTTAAACCTTATAAGCCAGATAAGGTAAAGATAATAGAGTCCATTTGTGCAGTCCAAGTTCCATTGTAATGCACCATATGCAAGGATATCAAAGCTGCAGCCTAAATCCATATTTAGGGGAAGAATTCCTTTAAATTTTCAAGGGTAAAATCCTTCCACCCAATTTGCATTCTAAACAGAATGCTTAATAACTTCATCAACAGCATCTATTAGATTAAGGTGACTTCAGATTTTCCCTAGAAAGAAATGAGTGGATTCTTGTTTTACTTATGTACCCAAAGGCCTATCACTGTGGTTTTCCTAAATAAGGACATTCTGCTGTGAAGTTGAAGCAATGTCTCTACTTGTGACAAATAATGTCCCAATAATATTCCATGCTTACCAGGCATCCAAACGAGGCCAGAAAGAATGGTTTGGGTGGAGGCCAGGAAGGGGGCTGTCCAGAAGACAGATGATGAGGACTTGAGATAAAGTGTTAGCAGGGGAGATAAAGGAATAGATTCAACCAGGTCTAACCAGAAACCACACCAGCTTCTGTTGAGTTGATTCTGATGCTCTGTGTGCCTGAGTAGAACTGTGCTCCATAGAGCTTCAATAGCTGTGGTTTGGGGGATATAGATCACCAGGACTTTAGTCCAAGACGCCTCTGGGTGGACTCAAACCTCAACCTTTGGCTTCGCTGTTGACAGCTTTAGTGTTTGCACCACCCTATTTATAAAGAATAATGTATCTGAAATGTCAGGAGGGATTGGTGGAAGATCCCACAATGGAAGCCTGAGAGAACAATGGTTGAAGAAGACGGTGAATATCCTACCAGACTGCGAACCTTAAGGTCAGCAGTTCGAAGCTACCAGCAGCTCCGTGGGAGAAAGATGAGGCTTTCTGCTCCCGTAAAGATTTACAGCCTCGGAAACCCTGCACAGGGTCGCTATGAGTAGGTTCCGACTCCACGACACATAACCACCAACACCACCACTGAAGCCAAAGGTAGAAAGTGCCCTAGTTACACTCTGACAAAAGAACTGACAAGTAACATACATTTTAGGAGAGTCCTGATGTAGTGCTGTAGGATAGGCACTGGACTACTAGTGTGGTGCTGTAGGATAAGCACTGGTGGGTTTGAACCGCCAGCCACACCTCAGAAACTCTATACAAGGTTGCTCTGAATCTACAAGTGCGTGCAAGTTAGCCTAATAAGAGTTACACAAGAGTCAGTGTGGTTCTAGACGGAAGTCACAAGAAGGCTCTAAACTTTGTTCAGATGCGTGTTTTAAACTGCTCTTTAATGAAGGAAAGCAATCCAGAATGACAACGAAAGTTGGGAAGGTAGTCTCAAATCTCTATTGGTAAGAGGTCAGTCTCGCCCAGTGCATCTGTCAGCACTCTGTGGTTCCACATTCACCTCTAGATGCTCTGTGCTTTGTTGCAGCTCCCCCGAAGTCAGGGAATGCAGTGCCCACTTCCAACGCCATCTGGGAACCGCTCACTCTGTCATCGCTACTGGAAGAGAAGCCCACCAGAACTGTGCCCGGAGAAAGCACCTTCCGCAACGGAAGGGCCCAGCAGTGGATCATCAAAAATGCCACCGTCATTAAGTGAACATAAACTCGCCAGGCCTCCCGCCTCCTCTGCAGAGGCTGAGGGGCCTGCAGGCGTCGCCATCTAGGGCGTCCAACCAAATAAAGTCGCTTTCCCGCTTGCTCCGGACATGGGCTGCCGGGTCGCGGGCCATGTGGCCCGGCGAGCCTCTCGCTCGGATCAGTAGACACCCAGGCCCCGCCCACGCCCGGCTGGGGGCGGAGGAGAAGGCGTGGCTGCGGCACGCTGCTGGGGGGTGGGCTTTCCCTATGAGTGACGGGCTGGCCGCCCAACGGGCGGGAGCCTTCGGGGCCGGCCTTCCTGCAGTCTCTTCCGCTCGCTGGCTGCGGAGCCTGGGACGGTTGCTGTGGGTCTGGGCTCTGGGAAGTCGTCCAAGATGATTAAAAAATTCGACAAGAAGGACGAGGAGTCTGGTACGCGCTGGGCCGCTCACGCCCACCCTCAGCCGCGGGGGGCCCCTTCCTCTGCTGCCCGCACCTGCCCCAGGCACGGCGGCCCCGGGGGGCGTGGGCACCGGTGTGCTCGCGGCCCCTCCTCTCGCTCTCGCCGGGGGGCTTCCTGTGGCCCCTCCCCCGGCCCGAGCCGCCCCTCGGAGCCTCCCCTCGGCCAGCCCCGCGCAGCCTCGCGTGCGGGGGCTCTTGCCGCCCCGCCCTGGCGCTCCGCCCCCCGGCGCCCCCTCCGGCGTCACCCCTCAGAGTCTCTCCTTGGGGACCCGCCTGGAGAACAGGCTGGGTGCTGGGCCCTGAGCCTGAGCACCTTGATTTGGGCCTGGGGTCGACGGGATCCGCATGTGTACCAAGTCGGGGTGCCTTCTCCCCTCGAGTCCTTGGGAGCTGCCCCCTGGTACATACTCAGTGTTGGGGTACCTGCTCGGTGTTGGGGTGCCTGCCCGGTGTTGGGGTGGCGGCGCTCACAAAGCAAAAGGGGCTGGGGCAGCTCACCTCCGGCGGCCCTTCGAACTTTTCGTGGCGTTGATGCTCTATTAAAGCCTTCATTTCTGCCTCTCAGTCCATGTTAAAAGCACATGAGATAGAGCTTGTTTTTAGACATCAGCATGCCCTGCCGTCATCTCTAACCTTAATTGCTGTGGAAGTGACAGATATTTGTAGTGTTCTTGTTAAAAAGAGAACAAGGAAGCTGTTTCTCATTTCAGAGAAAAGCCCAAGACCTTCCACACATCTAGAGCCTGACCGAAGACTTTGATTCCATTTACACGTATATTAGTAGTAATATATGCTATGCTAGGAGCCCTGGTAGCGTAGTGGTTACGAATCGGGCTGCGAACCTTAAGGTCAGCGGTTCGAAACTACCAGCCGCTCCGCGGGAGAAAGATGAGGCTTTCTACTCCCGTAAAGATTTACACCCTCGGAAACCCTGTACAGGGTCGCTATGGGTCGGAACCGACTCGACGGCACTTAACAACAAAAGGAGCCCAGGTAGTGCACTGGTTAAAGCGCTCAGCTGCCAACTGAAAGGTCAGCGGTGGAACCCACCAGCGGCTTTCAGGGAGAAAGACGAGGCAGTCGGCCTCATTGGCAGCTTTGGAAACCCTGTGAGGAAACAGCGTGTCCCATAGGGCGGCAATCAGTCTGAATTGACTGGAGAGCAATGGGGTTTTTTGTTTTTAAATCCAAGTGCTCACCTCACTTAAATGAGATTTTTCAAACATTGAGTACCCTTCTAGTGAAAGTAAATACACTTGTGCAGAACGGCTCTTACAGATGTGCTTTGTTTTGTAATGTAGGTAGTGGCTCCAACCCATTCCAACATCTGGAGAAGAGTGCTGTTTTACAGGAGGTATGGTCCCAAGTACACTGTGTCCCTTTCTTTCCTTGTTCCATTTTAGAGCGGAGGGCAGAGCGTCCCTGAGACGCTATGATCAGGACATCAAAGATGAGAACATTAGAGGATGGAACTGAGTTAAGGGAATGTGGACATGAGCAGAAGGAGGAAGAATTACTTGCCATGGCGAGTTTAGAGCATTTAAAATGTAAAGACCTATAAGCTCTGCTACATGTTGGGAATTTAAAATGTATGGAGGTGTTTGGTGTGAGGTCATTGAAGGAAATGATATTAAACTCCCTTTGATTGACACCACAACTATTGTGATTGTCTGGAAACATTGATTCTTACCATCTAAAATTCATAAAATTCAAGTATTAGACTTCAGAGTATGAGTTATAAAGTATGGAATAGAAAAGCAAGGTCACATCTAATAATTTATCATATCCCACAATAAATAAAAGGCTAATGTTTTAGGTTGGTGTTTCAAGCTCACCATCTGCTCCTTGGGAACCCTATTCAGGGTCGCTATGGGTCGGAACTGACTCATGGCACTTAACAAGAACAAATGTTTTAGGGTATTGTGATTAAAATGTATGAAAGTAGCATTGTAGTATAAACATTGAACTGTGAACCACAAGGTCAGCAGTTCAAATCCACCACCTTACCCTATACAGGGTTGCTATGAGTTGGAACCGACTCGATGGCACATAACAACAACATTTTTGGATATTGTGATTAAAATGTATAATAGTTTTTATTAAAGTTGATTTGCTGTAATCTGTGATAGAAAAAGTAGAAAATATATACTATTAATGTTTTGTGTATCTGCAGGCGCGTATATTTAATGAAACTCCTATCAACCCAAGAAGATGTTTGCATATTCTTACCAAGATTCTTTACTTATTGAACCAGGTAAACTGTTTTCAATTTCCTTAGAGTTTGTATCCTGGAATAGACCTATATAGCATGCAGTGCAGTACTTTCTGGAAAATTTAACTTTTTACTTAAAAATATTTAAAACTTCCTGAGGACAGGGATTATAATTTATTTAGTTTGTATTCATGAGGTGCTAAATCAACTAAGCACATAGTAGATTCTCAGTACATACTGATTTGAGTTTTAACAAAACTAAAACAACCCCTTCCCCCCCAAAACCAAACCCAAAACCATATCCATTGCTGTTGAGTCAATTTTGATGTCTAGTCATTCTTAGGACCGAGGAGAGCTGCCCACAAGGTTCCCAAGGCCACCAGCCTACCAAACTGATCATGTGGGGAAGTGCTGTTGAGTCGGTTCCGACCCATGGCGACCCTGTATGAGATTTCTGAGGAGCGGCTGATGATATTGAACTGCTCACCTTGCAGTTCAAACCAAGCTTACAGTCCAGTGCTTTATCCTACAGCACCGTGTTTTAAATACTCAGATTTTATATTTATTATCCCTACACCAAGGAGCTCTGGTAGCGTAGTGGTTATGAATCGGGCTGCGAACCTCAAGGTCAGCAGTTCGAAACTGCCAGCTTTCTGCTGGAGAAAGATGAGGCTTTCTGCTCCCATAAAGATTTACAGCCTCGGAAACCCTGTACAGGGTCGCTATGAGTCGGAACCGATTCCACGGCACATAACAACAACACCACCATGATTAATAGCAGTATGATACTACGCAGGTAACTTACCCGTTTTGTGCCTTAATTTCCTTGTCTGTAAATAGTCATTATGTTTATAATTGTTTTGTAAAGTGGTAATGATTAAGTGAGGTAGTGAGGGCAAAGCATTGAGAATAGCACTGGACACTACTAAGTTTTCAGAAGTAGTTTTCATTCAGTCATTCAGAGAGATCTCCTACACACTGTTCTAGGTCCTGAGGATATACTGACAAAATCAGACAATATTTGCCCGTATGGAACTTAGATTCGCCTTGCCATTGCTATTGGTAAAGTGTTTTTTTTTTTTCTTTCAGACTAAAAATCTCTTATGAGGGCCTATGGCCTTAGAAAATGCAGGTTTGTTTCTTAGATTATGTAACTATGTTCTTGTTGTTAAGTGCTGCTGAGTTGGTTCTGACTCATAGTAACCCCTGTTTAGGGCTTCTGAGGCATTAAATCTTTGCTAGAGCAGAAAACCTCATCTTTCTCCCACAGAGCACCTGGTAGGCTCAAACCAGCGACCTGGTAGCTTTGGAGTCAATGCTTATCCTACAGAGCCACAACAATGCTCCCTTATAAATATAAATGTATAAATATACATGCCTGTTTATAAACGTGTACACATGCGCGTGTGTGCATACTTAATATGTATTTGTATATTTATATGTTTGTGTATACACATAAACCCTCTTTACTTGTGAGTCTATATGTATAGGTACATATACACGGACTCCTCAGGTGGTTTCTATTTGATGTTAAGATTATAGTTTTCAATTTGAATTCTGTGACTGAGAGTCCACCCATAGATTGAATTGGTTTTTATTGTATGCAAATGGAGATTGAGCAGTAAGCATGTACTTTTAAATAAACTATGGTGGTGGTGGCTATGTGCTGTGGAGTTGGTTCCGACTCATAGCAACCCTGTACAGGGTTTTCGAGGCTGTAAATCTTTATGGGAACAGAATGCCTCACATGCGGAACAGCTGCTGACCTTGCGCTTTACAGCCCGATTCGCAACCACTACGTTAACAGAGCTCCTTAAATAAACTATAGCTGTTCATTAGTATAGTCTCTGTGACGGTATATTAACAACATTTAAGGAAAGTCAATTTGATAGTTCTTTTTATAATATACATTGTGTGTAAGTTGGCCAAATCCATGATATAAGCAGAGGTTTGAGTAATTGAAGTGGATCCAGGGAAGCATAGACATGTTAAATATTTGATTATCATGATAAGGAAATTAATATGAAGTCTGAACTATGAACACGGTCGAGAACCTTTGTTTTCTCTCTTTGTTTAGTTCTTAGTAAAGAGCCTTGCAGATTAAAACATTCATATTTTTACCAGAATTGACTTATCTCTGTGTTCTTTGAATTTCAGGTCAGAAGGTAGGGACTTAAGATTTAGCAATATGGCTGAGAAGTATATGGGCTTATCAGTATACAGGTCCTGGTGTGGCACTGTGGGTTAATGCTCTGGACCACAAGTTTGGTTTGAGCCGAAGGGCGGCAGTTGCAGCTCACCAGCCACTCTTTGCAGACCCTATACATACAAGGCCTCTATGAGTTGGAACTGACTTGACAGCAGCACTTAGCACCAACACCAAATCTTTATGAAGGAAACCGGAAAGTCTCCTGAGGAGCAAGGTGGATACTCTGATGCAAGTCATTGTAAATGCTCCCTTTCATCCTAAATGCTCCCAAGTTTTTCATCAAAATTGGATTCTTCTATGCATGCCAAATGAAGTCCTGGTAGCGTAGCTCTGGTAGCATAGTGGTTATGAATAGGGCTGGGAACCTCAAGGTCGACAGTTTGAAACTACTAGCCGCTCTGTGGGAGAAAGATGAGGCTTTCTGCTCCCGTAAAGATTTATGGCCTCGGAAATCCTGTACAGGGTAGCTATGAGTCGGAACCGACTCCACAGCCCATAACAACAATGCATGCTAAATGAAGTCTTGGTGTGGCTCTGTAGGATAAAGCACTGGACTGCAAGGTCAGTTTGAACCGCAAGGTCCGGAAATCCTATACAGGGTCGCTATGAGTCACAGTCGACTCACTGACATTTAACAACAACATGCATGCCACATAGATTGAGGACTCATAAGATGTCATGTGACATCAGAAGTTGTGAAAAGTGACTAAGCTTAGCATTATTGTACAGGATGCTTTTTTAAAAAATGTTTTTATTGTGATTTATGTGATAGTTTACATGGGAGAACATTAGCTTTACATTCATCCTGTCGTATTTCGTTTCATTGCAATTATTACAGTCCCCTCCATGCATTATCCAACAACCAAAGGGTACACCCTGCAAGCCTTCCCCCAGGGCCATTAGCACACAACCTCTCTCCCTCCCTGAGTCTAAAGTCCCCAGCCGCTCCATCTCTCCATGTCATCACAGAATTGTTTTTTATGAAGAAAATAAATATTGAAATGATAATATTGCAAGGAGTCTACAATCTGTAATGTTTTAGAGGTGAGTGGAAGAGGTTACGTAAGCTCTTGCTACTCAGATGAATGTGATTCCCAGATCATCAGCATGTCCACAGCTGATAGCCTATAAGAAATGCAAAATCACAGACTTCGCTGCAGAGCTATTTAATCACACCTGCATTTTGGCAAAGACCCCAGGTGATTTGTTAAACACATTAACATTTGTGAACTCTGATCCAAAGCGTGCTTTTAGTGGCTCTGGCGGAGGAGTACTGGTGAAGCTTTCCTAGAATGAGCACTAACTGATAACCTCAAGGTCAGAGGTTCGAACCCACCAGCTGCTCCTTGGAGGGCATAGGGTCACTGTGAGTCAGAACCGACTTCTTGGCACTTAATAACAACAATTGTCAAAAAGAGGAAGATGCCCAATGAGATGGATTGACAACAGTGGTTACAACAGTGGACTCAAACAAGACAGTTGTGAGGCTGGCTCAGGACTGAGCAGTGTTTTGTTCTGTAGTACATCGGGTCGCTGTGAGTCGTGGAGAACAATTGCCAGCAGATTGATAGCTACTAGGAGCTCTTTTTGAAGCCTTGCTTTTTATATGATTGAGCTGGTTTTCATTGGTCTCATTTGCCATGTTTGCTGGGATTTCTAATATATAATTCTTTTTCGTTTCAGCAGTTTGAATCTACCAGGCATTCCACAGGAGTACTTTCTGCTCCTGTAAGGATTTACAGCCTCGGAAACCCGGTACAGGGTAGCTGTGAGTCGGAACCGACCGACTCAGTGGCATATGACCACCACCATGCTCCTCTGATAGGGCAAGCCTTGTTCTGAGCAATGGATCCCTGCTCTTACACAGTATAACAACAGCATTCTTATTTCATTACACTTTCCTCATTGTAGGCTTCCTCCTCCTAGTGAATCTCAGTTTATGGCATTTAAACGGTTCAGTTTAAAAGGTGAAGTGCTGCTGAGTCAATACCGACTCATGGCGACCCTGCATAGGATTCCTGAGGCTGTGCATTTTTGCAGGAACAGAAAGCCTCATTTTTCTCTTGCGGAGTGGCTGGTGGGCTCAAATCTCTGACCTTGTGATTCACAGTCCAATGCTTACTCTACACAGTCAGCACAACCCCTCTGCTGAAAGGTTAAAGACTATTAATCTAAAACTTTTGTAGTATGTTGTGTGCTAATGGGTTATTTTCAGTAAGGAGTGGATAAACGGTCATGTGAATTTATAAATTAAAAGAAAAAATAGTGATGAAGCAGGATGTTACAACATTTATTCTTGTCTTTTGAAAGATATTTGCAAAAGTAGATTAAAGAGGAGATGCTTACTGTGTCTTTTCTGTAAGTTTTAAAACTCGCTTCACGTTTTTTACATAGGGTGAACATTTTGGAACTACTGAAGCCACAGAGGCCTTCTTTGCGATGACTCGATTGTTTCAGTCTAATGATGTAAGTGTGCTTTTTATCCTTTGGGTCTGAAAAACTCTTTTTTTAGTTGTTGTCCTCAGGGAAATTAGAGTACAGCAAATTGGGAAGGGTATCTTGAAGTGCTTAAACGTACTTAAAAGTTGTTTATCTTTTATAAAATTTCAAAATGTTCATTAGAGGACTTGTGAAACTGTTAAGCGTATAAGATGAAGCTGTTCACCCACAGATCACCCATATGGTCATAAAGTCTGTTTCTGTCTGGTGTCTGGCGTGAGGCTGCAGAGGTGGGCTGGTAGAGAAAGCAGTGGGCATGGTTATGGCATCTAGAAGTCCTCCGTCAAGTTTCTGGTGGGCCGGGGATTGCTGTTGACCAGTCGGGGTGGATGGGGACCAGGGAGGAGGACATGGACTCTGGGGAGGAAGGGTGATAGAGACTGTAACCTGCCAGCACCTGTGTGTCTGTCTCTCATTGCTGTAAGCCAACCCGGCCTTCAGAGCATCACACTACTGTTGCACTTCTGTCTTCTAAATGTCACACACATTTCTCTTTTGCCCAACTCCAATGCAGAGTCCTACAGGAAAGGGGATTCTGGGAAACACAGCTTCAGCTTAGCCAAAATGCTATCGTTCAAAACAACCCCAGTTCACCCATATCCATTTGATGTCCATGGGCATTTCTTTTCATCACAGTTGACTTCCATATAAAACCAGGAGCAAAATCCTGTTTCCAGTTGTTGTGAGGTCCTTCTCTGTGGACAACCAAAACGTGCTAACACTCTCCCCTAAAAGAGGATTGATTTCATCCATTTTTTAGGTGATGTTCATGCTTCTAGCTGAGTTTTTCCTCTTTGATAGCTTCTGAATACTGATATGTAAGGTTAACTACTATTGATAATATTGTGTTAGCTGTAGACCAATAGAAGAAGAAAAGAAAGGGGAATAAAATGTTGAACGTAGAAATACAATCATTTTAGATTAAGGAGAAATACTCAAAACGATCAGTCCTCGTTTCTATGGCCATTTGGTCCTAGATGGTTTTTATAAATTCTTTTGTTCATTGTTGAGCCCATGTTCTCCTTCTCTCAGCAAGGGCTTCAGCAGGTTGCATGCCTGGGAAAGTGATCCACTCTTTCATTGCTGGATCATCTGGGTCATTGGCAGCCCTATCTTTATAGGTTTTCCACGACTCAGTTGTAGTTTTCCATTAATTACTTTCATAGGATATGGGAATACTCAGAGGGGCCCTAGAGGATCTGTTGTATTCTAGAAGACTCCTCCGTGTTGTGTGGTAACGTCCCAGGTTCCCTTGGTTAATCAGATCCACCGTGCCTCCAAACCAACAACCCTTTTTCTGCCTGTTGGCTTACTGGCCAGAAGAGCCCAAATTGGCAGTCTTGATTTCCAGTTGAGTGAAAATATGGCTCTGTCCCCTTGTGGACATGCGAGCATTCCTGTCTTGGGAGCCAGAACATGAGCCCAGTCGAGTTCAGAGTCGAAAAAAGGGAAGCTGCTGGTCTGTCATTAGGTAAGAATGAGAGGAACTCTTTCCATTTCCACCGGTGATTCCTGAACTCCTGACTTCTGCTGCTGGGAGAATCAGCGCCAGTTATTGGTTGCTGAGTTAAAGTACATGCCCCATCACCTCAGCTCTGTCGAGTATGGTCACTGAGCTGGCATCTCCTGTAACTGAGTCTTCAAAAGGTCACTCCACTGTTTCAACAGGCCACCTTTTGAAGAGTCATGGGAGGTGCACGTGTATGTTATTGCAACTGACTTGCTGTCTATTGAATTCCTTAGTTGTAAGCAACGTGATGTGGAATACCATGTCAGTCAGTAAGACACTGGAATTCTGTGGATAGTAGGTTGGGTGCAAACCTTTAAGCAGGAAGGCAAATTTAAATTCAGACTATCCTGTTTAGACCACAGTGCTGTCCCTTCCATTATAAAAATAGTCTGGTCCGATATAATCATCTTGCTACCAGATACTTGGCTAATCTACGCAGAAGTGGTTTATGTTGGGAACTTAGTATTGTTTTATTCTTTTTTGCTGCTGGCAGGTTAGGCTAGAACTTACAGCCAGATCAGCCTTTCTGAGTGGAAGTCCGTGTTGCTGAGCCCATATATAATCTCCAGCTCTACAATGATCACCTCTTTGTTTATCAGACAAAGAGACTGACTGGCATATAAAGACTGGGTTATCTTGTCTGCCTGATATTAAGATCCTACTTTGCTGAAGTTGCTGTTTGGTGAGAATTCACATAGGACACTAGTATCTGTGCCTGTTCAGAAAAGGCCTGTTCACATTCCTCCTCCCCAGACCTCCTCTTTACTGAATTTCCAATTGTGTTCCTTCCAAGGGACTAACTGAAATACCACAAAGGGGTGGCTATAACAAACTGCAATGTGTTTTTTTGAAGTTTAGAATGCTGGAAGTCCAAACTCAGAGCTCTGACTTTAGCGAAAGGCTTTCTCTGTGTTGGTGTTGACACTATGGGAAGCGCCTTGCTTCTTCGGAGCCGCTGTTCCTGGCGGTCTTCCGGTGCTTTGGCATCTCTTCCCCCATCTGTTTCTTTGGCTTGCTTGTTTAATCTCTTTTATATCTCAAAAGAGATTGAGCTCATGAAAATAATACAGACAACTCATTCCAAATGGGACTGTAACCACAGGCACAGATGTTAGGATTTATACCCATGATTTTTGCAGGACACAGTTAGATCCATACCCTAACTATCCAGTCATACCATTAGCAGTTGTGATTCTGACTCCTGGCACCTTCTACCCATGAATTAATGTTAGACCCACTACCAACCAGGTGCTCTGCTTGAAATGTCCCCAAACCACTGTCTTTCAGGAGCTATAGGCCATTTCTTGGTTGATTACTGCAAACTCATCTATAAAGCACACCTGGTCTTTCTTTCCCTTCCTCTGTTCATTGGTTTTAGGTGCAGGTTGATAGAGAGGGGACAGGGTAGCAGGAAGAGCCACTTGCTCAGGTGACTGACTTAGGCCTTCAAGGCGTCCTTGAGCCTGACCTCATGGAGAGCTGCTGTGCACACATAGCTTTATGACTTCGTGGCTCAGACGGCATCCAGTGTATCATGGCAGTGTAGGTCACATGGTAACTTAGTGGCCGTGGTCAAGTATTCAGTCTTGACTCTGGGCTCGTATCATCTCCAGAGGCACATTTCTCACAAGGCACATTGTTATTTGTAGAGGATGGTATAACTTTGCTCCAGAGTCCTAAGGGTCTGCCCTGTGATTCATTTGTTGGGGTCCAGTAAAGACTTCCCTTTGCTACCGAACCCCAAACCACTGCCCTCAAGTGAATTCCGATGTCTAGTGATGGCTGTTAAACAGAGTAGAACTGCCCCATCCAGATCCCAAGGGTGTAAGTCTTTACAGAGACAGACTTCCCCATCTTTTCTCCCACAGAGTAACTGGTGACCTTCAGCTCAGTTACCATGTCTGCTACAGACACTTCAGAAACCATCGCTGCACTGAGTCACGTGGCCTAAGTCACCAAGCAACTGCCATGGCTGTCTTGGCTACTGCAGAGTCTGCTTTAGTGCTGGGTCCCTCTTAAAACTGGCAGCTTTATGAGTTTTTTTTTAAATGAAAATACATTGGCATGGCATTCCCAAATGAGGTATATTGTTGTTGTTAAGTGCCATTGAGTCGGTTCTGACTCATAGCAACCCTGTAGAGGGTTTCTGAGGCTTTAACTCTTGATGGGAGCTGAAAGCCTTGTGGAGCAGCTAGTAAGATTTAACCACAGACCTTGTGGCTTGTAGTTGTGCTTATGGTATGAAGCTGCGGCTGTGCTCCCAATGAGGTATATTGTTGTTGTTGTTAAGTGCTGTCGAATCAGCTCTGACTCATAGCAGCCCTATAGAGGGTTTCCAAGGAGCAACTGATGGGTTTGAACTGTCAACCCTGTGATTATCAGAAGAGTGCTGATCCTGCATCTCTGCACTAAGAGTCCACTGAGGTATATGTTGCCTCCAAATCAAAGTCCACATGGCATTGTGCCCCTTTTCTAGTGATAGATTGACCTTTTAAGGGACTATCTGCATTGCTGGACCTCTAGAATTATCACCAAGGTGATAGGCTCCTGAATGGTTTCCTACTCTAATACATGGGTCTCATCAAGATGTCTAGGGTAATTGTTACCGTGTGTTTGTCAGGTCAGGCTGATATCATGGATAAAGGGGGATGGAATATTTTTGGAATATAGAGAGATGATCAAGTCCCTGAAGACTAGATTATGGCAGAAAGCTGAGGAGTTGACTTAGCTGTTTAAGTGTTGCTGTTAGGTGCTGTGGAGTTGGTTCCGACTCATAGCGGCCTTGTGCACAACAGAACGAAACCCTGCCCAGTCCTGTACCATCCTCACAATCGTTGTTAAGCTTGAGCCCATTGCTGCTGCAACTGTGTCAACCCATCTCGATGGGGGTCTTCTTCTTTTTTGTTGACCTTACACTTTACCAAGCATTAAGACCTTCTGTAGGGACTGGTCCCTCCAGATAATAGATCCAAAGTATGAGAGTCGAAGTCTTGCTGTCCTAGCTTCTAAGGGGCATTCTGGCTGTACTTCGTCTATCACAGATTTGTTTATACTTCTGAAAGTCCATGGCACTTTGAATATTCTTCTTCACCATAACTCTCATCAATTCTTCTACAGTCTTCCTTATTCATTGTGCAACCTTCACATGCATATGAAGCTATTGGAAATATCATGACTAGGGTCAGGCACACCGTAGTCTTTCAATTGACATCTTTGCTCATGAACACTTTAAAGAGGTCTCGTGCAGCAGATTTGCCTAATGCAATATGTCGTTTGATTTCTTGACTGCTACTCCTTTGAGTGTTGATAGTGGACCCAAACAAAATGAAGTGTTTGAGAGCTTCAATCTTTTCTCCATTTATGATGATGTTATTTATTAGTCCAGGGGTGAGAGTTTGTGTTTTCTTTACATTTAGGTGCAACCCAGATTGGAGGCTCTGGTTTTTGATCTTCATCA